TATTTGGTCCACTCGAAACTGTGCTCCACCCTTATTGCTCCTTTTTAGCAACCTAAGCTTTATCGAATTAGACTTATTTATCTGTTTGTCTTTTAACTTCAGAAATGCTCTTCTTAGTATATAATTCTACATTTCTCACAGGATGGTCATAACAAACCAGTGGTGGATAAGGTAGATCATAGTTCTACTCGACTTATCAGATGAAATGGCTCCTGGGAGTGAGTTGTGTATTGGCGAGTTGTTGTACAGTGATTTGTACAGCTTTTGCTAGTAGTAAACCTACAATTTTTCCCATATGCTGGTGCTATGCCTTAGATTATCTACAGCCATTTTTAAAACTAGACTAGACAATGAAATTCATATGTGATTGATGTAACAGCAAATATTTTTTATTGGAATTTTGATGTCTGCCTTTCTACCTCATCTTGGTTGGGTTTAGTTAGTCGACTTGCCTAGTGACGTGATCTTGAGGGAGCTAAGTCGAACAGGATTACACTTGACTTCGATACAAACCTAACCAATGATAAAGAAAGAAAAGCAAAGAATATAGAATTGATTGAAAGTGTCAGTGTATTGAGTTTGCAAATAAAACGGAAAAGGACAATATGTGCACAAGCTTTGTTTCTGGAATGCAAAGTATTTGGTGTTCCTCACCTTGGAAGCTGTAAAGAACTTATGTTGCGTTGTAATCTGTTTTTTTGTGCATTCGATAGGATCAATCGTGATTTGCTGCGACTGACGCGCTATTGAAGCTTCAGAAGCCGATACTGCGGAAGCGAGGGGCTCCTCATTGCAATACCCGATTTTCATCAATTGGATATCAAAAAGCGATTTTTTCTGCCGGCGATCATGAGAAAATATTAGGGGATCCTTTCGTTACCTATGTAACTATTTATATGCACCCCGTTTAAGGCGCACGGTTTTAGTGGGTGGTGACTTTGATAGTCTGATTCCTAAGGTTATTTTTTAGTTTAGTTTGGGGATAGAGAAGCTTGACTGTAACTATTCTTAGTGGTGGATAAGGATTGAAGCCACTTCTCATGTCATATCTTCGTGCATTTTATTTTACTTCGAATTGCGAGTAGATCATTTTTCAGTGAGATAAAGTATCTCGAGGTAGGTTTGTTGTGTGATGTGCTGCATTCTATCATATTAAACGTTTTCACATTGTCAAAACTCTGTTCCGAAGACTCTCCTACTAAATTAGTCATGCACATAGGGCTCGGATGATATGTCTTGGTGTAATGCATTCAAACGAAACAGTATGTCCATTTGGCGCTATTAAGGATACCAGTATAGTGCGGCGCCGATAGATGTGTCAATAAAATGAAAAACAGTACGATTACGCTGCTCGATGATGTACCTAGATTTAGTAGGTTTCTAGCCCATTCCTACCAACTTACCAAATTTTGGTTAAAATGGTGATTAACTTAATTATCTGGTCTCAATCTTTATGTTAGGGGATAACAAAAAATCATTTTCAAGGCTTATTTACTAATATTCTGGATGGCATCGATCGCAAGGAGGTGAGTCTTGAATTAAACCGAAACTCAATGTATACAATGCTATCAATTCAGCTAAACACTTCTTCATTTTAGTTATCTTATGTTAACATATTTACGTAGAGTGAACACATTTATCTGACAGAAACACTTGATCCATTCATAAAATATTGGTTAATCATAACAATATTACTTAGTTATTCGCGATTATACAAAACTGGTGATCAGGCATATTATTCCCAACCGTTATAAAACTATTTCAACTGGTTTTTTGAATAGTTTTTTCAAAGATTCTAGCTACGAGTAGGTATTATTCAAAGCTTATATGAATAATTAAAGCTCTAATTATATCATTTCTTTTTAATATTGCTCAGCATGCTACATCATATTTCCGCCATGTGCATGTAGCATATTGAATAGTCTCGATCCACATATTATTGCTAATTAGGTCGGCACTTCAACCCATGCTGAATGAGAACTTTATTTTGACATACAGTGATTTCCGTCTGCCAACTGCTTGAACGTTTCCTTTGTTAAATACAAGCTTCCAAAACGTCGGTCTCTTCTAGCAGAGGAGTGACCAAATGATCGCACTACGTTGCAAAACTCTGAGTAATCAAATACACAAATTCGGGCTAGTTTCATCCATTAAAACCCGTTTGATATCTTATCAAACGGTTGGATTGTGCGAAGTCCTCAGTTCACCGTCCTGCGACCCTATTGAACCTTTTCTAAGCTTTCGTCTTTAGTTTGACAGACATCATCAACGCAAGAATCCATACTTTACGAGTACAAATATA